AACCCAGATTCATCCATCAGACTGCCAGACAGCAAAGTGCGATTCATCACTCCAGAGAACAAGTTTCCACTGCTCTAGAGAGGTGACAGGCTTTACACCACTCCAGCCAACATTTGGCATTACAATCTCTGTGTTCAGCTGTTTGTCCATAGAAATCCAGATGAGGTTAGGCATTTTTATGAGTGAGTTTGTATAGTAATTTCCCTTGTTTTCTTTGTACTGAGTTGGTTCTGAGGTAAATTAGCCCAATTTGATGTTGAAGTTAATGATTTAACGGATGAAAAGAGAGTGGAATGAAAAGCCAATCTGTTGGGGTTAGCTGCTAGCCACTAGCCTAGCATGGAGACAAGACAGGTTTCCATGTGCACCACCTATGGCGCCTCTCACTCAGCCAGCTGCTTCAGGCAGTGACACGTTCTCGGCCTCACTTTGGCTCCTTTACTCTGGGAGAAAGGGTAAAAAGCATATCTCTGGCGTTTTGTGCTGAGTAAAGACAGAATCTCTGTTTTCTTTATAATCAGCCTTGTTGAATATATACAAAGCTCTGGTGACATCCTAGCTTAAAAAATACAAAAGAGGGGCCACAAGAACAGGATCCCAATGTGCAGCCATAGCTTACTGATCTGATCATTGATGATCCTGTTTGCATATCTTACTAAATCGTTGTCACAGCTTAACTTAATCGTTCCAGTGCCGTGTTAAAATATAGCCACACATTAGGAAACCGTTCTCACTCCGTCATTATTGTTGCCATGCATTTTTTTTATTAAGAATGGATGTGTAGAGATGCCAGTGATACATTCTCAATGGTTGTATGTCGTATTTCAGTAAAGCATCTGAGAGAAAACACCAGAGAACAAAAACATAAAAACAATATAAAATTGTGAATTCTGTCAAACCAGTTAGGTGGAGGCTTATGATGCTGTGCTATTGCATTTTACATAACATGACAAACAGCAGACACTAACTATAGAAGGTCCCTTTCAAAACTGCAGTGACTATTTGAGGTTAAATAAAGGCTTTTAGTTTTTTGTAAAATACTTTGTCATGTCAAACAAAGTCTTTGAGAATTTACAGCATAGTCTGACACATGCAGGAAAAAATGTCGCAGTAAGAATCAAAATTTCTTAAGGACCTTTTTTTCCAGCATGTTCCCATTGGCTTTTAATATAAGTGTGTTTAGAAACAAACTTTTTTAAATTTCTTTTTTAATTATAAAGACATATGTCAAAATTATTGTCCATGGTAACCATCTACGCTAGGCGCAGCAGAAAGAGATTACGCTGAAAAACAGTAGAGTATTTCTTTGTCTTATGAATGATGGATGGAAAATAGAAAGTATGGAGAAATAAGGAATTCTGCATTGTGCAAATCAGACCTTTGCATAAACATTTTGGGAGTTTTAAGGGTGTAAAAGGTCACACTCTTTGTCAGGGATAAACAATTACAGTCTTAGAGGGCAAATGTCCAGCACACTTTGCTAATTCCTCAAAGCAAACACACCCAGTCTGGTGTTCGTACACATATGGAGTTGATTTTGTGCCAAAAGTTTCAAATAAAATAATAAAATCCTCAAGCAAAATATCAAGTATCAAAATGTCTAAAATATTTTGCAAATGCAAATAATGAGAGTTAAATCAAACTTAACTTTTCAAAAAGATTACTACTCATTCTGAAATACATGTATTACTCATTTAGCCAGTTTTTGCTTTTATTCTATTTGCTGATATTGATGATATATGTTTGGGTTAACTGTGATCTGCCCCCAACATGGTGGAGTCCTTCGTATAGAGAGTAGTAATGTTATTGCCAGAGAGGATTGGGCTGACATGTCCGACCTTATGAGCACTGTTTGTCATATTTGTTAATGTAACACACACGCAGGGTCGTGTGTCACCCTGCGTAAAATTGGATATAGGAGTATAATAGGTAAACTTAGCACTTAGCAGTGTCTGCTAACTAGACGAGCTTTGCAGCTGTTTTAATCAGAGTTTATAAGCCCTGCTTCTGAAGACTGTTGTCATTGATAGACAGTAATGTTTAATCACTACAAAAGGAATCAAGTCAACCTGTCATGGTTGACCGTAAGTTCTGGGGGTTATGAAGTCTGTTCTGTCAGTCTTTTGTTGTTTCTACCCACAGAATCCCTCAGTGTCAGTCACTGAAACAGGCCTCCTGTCTCAGCACGCTAGTTTACAGAATGCTGCGGCTCCAAATCACTGTCTTCACATTAATACATTTAACTAACTTCAGATATTTAACCAGTTTAGTCCCATTATCAGCATGAACAGCAGAGTTAGCCCTAGCCGGCAGCTGTGAACTCGAAAGGTGCAGTTTCGTTCATTCATAAACACCTAAGTTTGTTCTTCAACACCCATATTAAGTTATATCAAACAGTAAACTTGTGTAACATTAATAATTTAAAAGGAATATGATAAACATTGCTCTTAATGTCGGATATGCCAGTAAAATGCTGCACTCATTGCAGCACCCAGTACAGTGTATTCCGCCACACTGGGGGTGGTTCATCCTGAGTGGTTACATGTTAGAAATGACTGTTTTATTCTGTTTATTCTGATTTTGTTCATTTTATATTATAATTCAGCTTCCAGTTACCTCAGACGGAGGCATCGGACTAAGCTGGTCTCAACAACAATTTCCAAGACCATCTTACCCCGAGACCGAGAAAAGACCATGTCCAAATGAGGTCAAGATGGAGGTGAAACCGCTACTTTATGGTCTCTAAACCACGACCAGACTCAAGTACTACAGCTCTAATAACCAGTGTAACATTTCAAAAAACATTTCTGAAATCACTGGTAAAATCTGACAAAAATCATATGAATAGTTTGTGGTGTTTGGTTCAAATAACTTATTCTAAAAGTATTTTTCAGGTTTTTTCAGCTGCTATGCATGTGCATATCTCCAATACCTTCACTGCTTTTTGGCTCTTTTTGTTGAAGGATGGGACTGATTACTACAATCCTTCATATTCCAACCAGAGAACTGTGCCTCCCTTTACATCTCTGGTTAAGGTTAGGATTAAGATTAGGGTTAGGGTTAGTTACAACCCCAACTTATAACCTAATAAGTTAGCTAGAGCTAACACACAGTTTAAAAAGTGATCTTAAGATACTTTAGATTAATGTAAACACTTAGATTAGTGTTTACATTAGTGTGTACACATGTAGATAATGTACAAACTCAAAAAGTGATCTTAAGTTACTTTAGATTAATGTAATTCTAAGTTTAATTATGGAACTACAACAAACCTTCACTGAAACGATTTATTTACACTAAACGCTTACCTAATGTTAATGTGAGCTCTTTAATGTAAGCTAGGTTGTAGCTACATATCACTTGGTGGTGGTAGTATTATACATGACTGTCATTTAGACTGGGCTGGCTGAAGTTTCTTTAATGAGCACCTATAGCCAAACATAGCACCATATGCCTTGATTACAAAGTAAACACCCTAGAGAGCCTTTCATGCAGCATGACAATAACAATGATGCCAAAAACACTGTCCTGGCAACTGAAGGACTGTTCAAAGCCCAAATGAGGAAACAAAACAGGCAGCTGCTCTACATCATTCTGAGCACCTTCACTCAAGATGAGAATGAAGTCACCAGGGACTAAAGGGTAAAATATGATGTCCTCACTGTGGCACTGAGAGTCCACTTTGGGTGTCATAAAATGGGCTAAATGCCTCATTATCCACAATTTTAAAAGAAATAATAGAGAAGATTTTACAAAAAAAAAAAACCTCTTCCCAGTCCT